CACGATTTTCTATATTAGAATAGTTATTGAAATCTAAACGATTGTAGTGAACGGCCAATATCAAGAATAAGAAAAAACAAGAGATAGCTAAAGTAAGAACTAAGGAGGGGAGGAATTCAATTTGCTGACATTTTAACCATTACAAGTTACACTATAGGTTTGTTATTAGTTGTAAACTTGTAAGTTATAAGAAAGTCGAAGCCCATTAAGAAACTTCACTACTGAGTATACGGCTCCAGTGCTGTGCTGTGTTCCGTTAGGTCAAGGAAGACGAAACGAGTCACATTTTTGGCTGGATGGTCTCAAGTTTTTGTTCTATAAGGCGACAAAGGAGAGACAAGTAACTTTACCCGGGCTCTGCCGTGAAGAATGTGATGTTAAATGGACTTCTCGATAGTTCAAGTCGTCTTCAGTTTTGGTTGCCTCGATTTATTTTCCACAGCAATTTTACACCCTATCGCTCCAGTGTTGTCAGCGATGATGAGGCATTAAACAATTGAGGCAACACCACTCCTATGCCAATTAATTTAGTCCATTATTACTACACCCCTAACCCTTAATGACTTTGCTAAACTCTGTTTGTTATATAAATTTTACAATTTATTCACTTTATCCTATGTGATCTTCATCACCCTCCCAACGGTTTACCGCCTCGTCGTGACTGAGATGTTCCTGGGTGTCGGGCTGCGATGTACAGCGAGGTGATTCGTCTCCCCGGCAGGATCTCCCAAGCTGAGAATGAGTCCGACGTTTCCATCAGAAAGCCTAGCTAAAAGTAAACCAATACCAAGATCCACCACCATCCTGGCACCGAATTAGTCGCATGGTGGCAAATCACCCTCTGATCCACATGGACTACGACTGCCTGTCGTGGTGATGAACTGGGGCAGGTTTCGACCAGGCTATTCTCGAGATTCCAGGGAACCACAATGGCTTAAGCAGCAAATCTCTGAAAAATGGTGATTATGCTGGGGCCTGCACAATAGTGAGGACGGGCCGTTCAATAACTAAGCAAGTAAGATCTTCACCAGATATGTTTAAAAGTGTTTTGAACCTAAGCACCATTTAAAATTTGGTTGGTTGTGTCGCATCCGTCATCCATGAAGGTTTTTCGACATCCATGTAAATCAACTTAACAGGTGAGGATTCTCTTTTCTCTGAATGTGGTTGAATGCTGGTGGAGTGGATTTTGTTTTTAAGTCTAGGATAGTTCTACAAGAGCTTGTCCAAGTCTTCATCACAGCCAGTCTTTTTGAAATGAGCGAGAGATCGCAAAAGAGAAGAACTTTCCCATGATTTAAAAAAAAAGAAAAGTCTCGGTAAAAAAGTCCCTAATTAGATTTCGAAAAAAACATTACAATATTAAAGTCGAATTTAATAAGAATCGTGGGTGGTTTCTTTCGAGATTCGTTCTGCTTGTCCGAGACGATGCTCTGAAGGAAAAGATTGATCAGAAAGATGAGTAGAACTGTGTCGACCAGCAGCAAAAACTATGTTATCCTTTTTTGCTTGGATATGAGGTGATTATGGGTACATAGTAAGAAGGGAAAATTTTGACACCTTTGATTAATGTGGGTAAATAGAAAAGATTCATGGGTTCTACCGTAGGCACTGAAGTTTCTGAGATAGGTAACTGGTAAATTTCGAGGCGAACGCAAGATGAGTGATGTTAATGTCGACTAGTAAACAAAAGAGAGTGAAGTGATTGGGACAAGTTGACTAATAGGAGAGGTTCTTTATCTTAGCAACGTTTCTCTAATAGCCACAGTTGTTTTCGCTTTGCTTTGGCTCGATCGATGAATAATCTGGGCGAGAAGTGTTTAGCTTGAATTCCATTCACGAGAATAATAGGTGTGTTGTTTCCCATACAGGTGATAAATGCGCATTGGAAATTTCAACGAAAATTTGCTAAACTTATAGTTTACACAGTTTTATTTTTAAAAAAAACGGGCGTTACTTTCTGTGTAAAAACGAATTCGGAATTCCGGTCATATCGGGCTATTTCTTCATTTGGAGCCGTCGATTCTCCTTAGGATCTGAGATTTTTTTCGAAGGAATTTCATTCTTGGATGAAGAAAGTAAACTCTTCCATGCAGGTCTGATGCCAAATTCTGGACTCCAGAGGAATTGGAGGCGTAGTAGGACCAAGGCAGGGTCGCATCACCGCCCTACTAGTAATGAACGCCATCACTGCCACTGCCCTACCTATCTCTAATTGTTTTTCAAATTGAAACAGCTTTTAAGCATTATTTTATAACTGGCTAATTACGTATATAGTATTATTTTTTCTAATGTGCAGATTCCACAACTTCTATTCGGTTTCTCTCATCGCATCGGTCATCAGTGAAAACCTTCGCATTTACGTCTAGGTTCGGTTCGCCCACAAAATGTTAGCTCACGAGTAATGAGCTTCACATTAGTGAAGCTATGCGATTTACGCTAATTTGTTGCATAATGTCTGAACGAATTGCCATAGATGAATGATCGATGAAGTCATCATTTGGCGATACGCGATAACCCGTCCACTGCGACTGGCCACGCCTACAGTAACCATTCCCGCGTGGTGATCAATTACTCTGTTGGCTCCGATTCAGTAATTTCTTGTAGCTGCCCATGTTCCTTATGGCTAACCGCTTTATTCGTTATACATTCATTGTTGTAGTCGTTGACTTTTTTTTAATTCGAAACCGTTTTTCGGTGGTTGATCAACTGTGTTCAAGTTCTTCATTGAAGACGTCTGTTGTTGTTTTCTCACCCGAAGATGTGCTGTTTTCAATAGCCTGATGAAGCTGACCCAAAGAAAATCAGAGGTGATCAATAGTTTAACCTAAGTTTAACACAGGCCAATTGATCAATATGTAAAACCTAGGTACAGCTATTTTCCTTTATTACTACAGTGTGCGATTTAAAAACGAGTTTTTCCGATTGTGTAGGTCTGTTATTGGGGAAAGGAACGTAACAAAGATCATTGCATATTTTTAATAAATCAAATACGATATTTGTAAGTTAATGCAGTATTATGTGATAAACACGATCTTAACAGGAGCCTTCGATTTGGGTTACTAGTGCAATCAATCGATAGGCATCAATAGCTTGGTCTCATTTCAGTTTCTTCTTATTCCGATGCATGTTAGGATTTAGTATTTATTAAACAAACTAAAAAAACGACCTGGATTTGAGTGAAAATTGATTTTTTCGTTCGCTTAACCGACGTGAAAAGAATAACCTGAAGAAGAAAATTATGGTCGGATATGGATCCTTAAGAACACCCTCCAAGGGTATTCTTACTTTTTCACCACAAGTGCTCTTCGACCTCTGCGGATCGAAGGAAAGTTAACTTCATTCCTGGTAGAATTCTTACACGATGGCAATGATTCCATCGATGATTACTCGATCGACCAGTTTATGGCCACGAAAAGAGCCGAATTCAATCGCTAATGTTTACAACGAGAAACGCGATGTTCAATCATAGTAGTGGTTGGTTTTTGAAAACATATTAGATTACAAGGCACAAAAATCCTAGTGGTTAGAGATGTCGTATAATCACGCGCAATTTGATTGCTGGTTCGAAACTGTCACTGGTCAAAAAGCCAAGCCCCATTTTTCTGAGGTCGGCGAATTGGTGCTAGAATAATCTGCGAATAATTCGTACCATGCACATAAGGTGACAAGAGCCTTGGGCTAATAAATGGGTAGGCGATTCCAGAGTTAGGTTAGAATTTATGGTGGAATGAAGCCGACTAGCAGTAATGGCATATATGGATAAGAATTAAGTAGCAGCCGAACATATTTGCAAATCAGAAATCCTTCGTGGATAACGGATGAAATACAACAATTTGAATGAAAAAAATGCTAGCAGCATCATCATATATGATATGGGATGGTATAAATAAAAAGCAAACGATTCACTACAAGACCCCATGACACCATTTATACTAGTTCGCCCAGTTTTTCTTACTTCGTAACAACTTCCATGTCCGATTTCAGGTCACGGACCACTCGAAGGAGTATGGATGTACCCTTACGCAAATGCGTAATCTTATGGAGGCGCGGGGAGCGGAGGCAGTTGTCAGGGTAAGCAACAAAGGAAAGGAGTTAAGCTAATAAGAATGATTGTATCGGAAACACTAATTAGTCTGAAGATATTTGTCAAGGTTACTTGTTGAATGAACGTTTTTTCTACTATTTCGTTTCCATCCTTTCTTTTTACTTTGCTTCCAGTCTTTTAGTGGACCCTTTCATGGGTTTTAGTTCATCAATTTCATTAGTTCATGAGTTGAAAATGAAAATTCCGACGTCACGACTTACTCTTCACTTAATTTTCTTACCAGTTATAGCTTTAATTTTAAAAAGTCGTTTTGATAATTTTGATTCCAACGATTATTGAAAACGCAATTTGTCTTGTGGTTCTTGTTTATTATTCATCTACCAGTTATAAAAGTAATACCACCAAACACCTACGAATTACCATAAATATTTGCTATATTTTACGATTATAATATATATTATTACCTCATAGTATTGTCATATCCTATTGTGCTTCACTACCTTTTGTTCGTCACGTGTAGCGCAGTGGTTAGAGGGGCTATATAATACATGGGAGCGATCCCGCGCCCGAGGCACACCGAGCCTTCCATCACTCCGGGGTCGCCAAATTGGTACCAGGCTTCTCTGGGAGAATAGTAGCACTAACTCGATACATCGGTAGGTCACCACGAGTCATTTTACAGGCTGGATATGCACTCAGTCTCCTCTTACGATGCTTAATTAAGTGGAATGCACGGTCCATCCCGCACAGACTGCTCAACGCAGAGAGCTTAATCCCTTGATCTTTTTAGATTGTTCCATTAAATTCTATTATTATATCTTGTTCTTTTTATATTACCATTTTATATCACCACTTGTAACACACATCCTTTTCATAGTTATTCAAATAAAAAATGTCGAATAAGCAATTGAATTGACCAGCTGTCTACGGAACACAATGGCGTCGACGGTTTATGTGCCAAGCTGAGGGTGGACCCCGTACGTGGGCTGCCGAACCAGGCGAGCGAGCTCGAGAGGCGTCGGGAGGCATTCGGTGCCAACACTATACCTCCGGCCAGAAGTAAAAGTTTCTTCCGTCTACTATTCGATGCTTGTCGAGTGAGTTCAGCTGATCATCAATTATTTCGTAGAATCACAGATCTCAGAGGCTTAGCGTCTACCACTTGCTGTTTTCTAGGGTAAAAATGAACGATGTAATAGCCACTTCATTAACGATATTTTTCTAAAAAACAAATGCAAACAATATAAAATTTTTTCGTCTAAAATGATGGAACGATTGTATTGTTGGCTTAGTGAGAGCAAAAGTTTTACAGCATCCTTTCACCAGCTGAAAGGTAGTGAACTAAGTCTGAGACTGAGATTGTAGATCAAAAAGCCCCAGAATATATGAGCTCTATGAGTGCCAGTGCTTTCGCTGCAGGACCCCACACTGATTATCCTTGTTGTTGCTGGCTTCGTCAATCTTGCGCTTTCGTTTTACGAGCCCGATATGCAAACCTCTGAAAATGAGACTACGACGCTGGCCGGTCTCCTTGCTAGCGACTTACTATCGAACCGTACCACTGGTGAGTTTCGTTTCAAGTACGTCAAACATTTTTAAAGCTCTTCATTGTTTTTAGGTTTCTTCTGAGTATGATTGTGATCCTCTGTGGCCCATTTAGAAGTTTTTCAGTAGAGCCAGATGAAATGTAAGACAGGGTTAATTGTCAAATGAGCTGGATAAATGTCTTTCCTGTTATTCTTTTTTGAAATTTGGTCTCACTTTAGTTGAATTTTTCAATTTCTCGTTTTGCTGTGATGCTTTCGTTTTTTTTCCGTAGTCCCGCCTGAAGACTTGAAATTACTTTAAATTGTGTGTGTGTGTAAATTCTCCAAAACTATTACTTCCTGCTTTTAAGCTCAATTTTCATTTCCAGGTCAAAGTATGGTAATTCTATCGAAGTTTTTTTATTCTCATTAACACACTTGTTTCGAGGACCAAGATCGTTGGCTTAGGGAGAGGAAAAGTTTTACAGCATCTTGAGCCAGGTTTAGCGACTTGACAAACAAGCAATTAATAGCAGATAATTTTAGCTATGGGCGGCGCGTATGGTTCAGTGGGTAGAAATGTCTAGCTTGTATGCACTTGGGCTCTGGTTCAATAACACGTTAGGGGAAACAAAATCTTCTATCCTTCTGAAGTAAGCAAATTGGTGCAAAATTTGTCTGGGTGAAAAATAGCATTGGTGATACATCAGTAGGCACCTCAAGACACTGTCTGAGTTAAACGGCATTCGCTTATCTCTCCTGTTCTACGAATGGAGTGGAATGCATGAGGCATCACGCAGATTTTGTTGAGCGGCGAGCGCTTTATTCGTTATCTTTTCTTGCCTCGATTTTGGTTCTACTAACTTGAATGTGTCGTTTTCTTATTCAGCAATCACGAGGTTGTTAAACAGCATACATTTACTTCCATAGAAAAACACAATACAGTACAACACTAGCTGACGTTTCGGCAGTATCGCCTTCTTCAGAGCCTGGAAGGGTATACTGATATACAATCTACTGGGCCAAACGCTTCAATAACACTTACAAAAAGGCGAAAACACTATGGTAATCACATGATCAACAACTCGAAAAACCCACCGCTTTTTCGTGACTTCCAATGAGGAAGTTTAGAACAGCTGATTATAGTCGCATGTGGTTGATGACTGCACCATCCCACATCAAAAATCGATGCGAACATACGGGATCAGGTCGCGTATAACCTCCGGGCATACATCCCTGCTATTCATTGTAGGGTTTTAGGCTGCGGGTTTAAAATCATCGGTTATTTCGCACTTTAAAATCGATAGACCAACATGTCCCGTCCTATACCTACTTATTAAAACACATAAGTTGGTATCACCTGATGATCATGCGTCAACCAATCCGTCATCATTTAAGGTTAGACCGATCATCAGCTGTGTAGACGGGCGAACGAATAGAATAATCTGGCTTTTAAGCCTGATACTTACCCAGTTGCTTAACCACATTCCAGCTCACCTCACAAACACCCAAATGTTCCTAGAACGTCTAGGTAACGCGTCTCCTAATAACACGTACGTGATGGAGTTTTCGACGTTACCGCACTGTACACCAACGTAACGAATGACTCCGCAATGCAAGCCATTTTCGAACTTCTTGTTGAACATGAAGGAAGAATGAATACGCATGGCTTGTCCATCCAGCAGCTAATGGCGCTCTTAAAGGAGTGCCTAAACTGGCCGATTTTCAGATGGTCTGGGAAATATTTCGCCCAAATAAGGCGGTTGGCAATGGGACAGCGATTGGCACCAAGCCTTGCCATTGTGTTTATATCTAAGATAGACGCCCCTGTTCTCGATCTCCGGCCACTGCTCTACTACAGATATGTAGATGATTGTTTTGTCGTCTTCTCTACGCAGGAGGAGATGGATAAATGATTCGAATTATTGAACGAGCAGTCTGAGTACATAAAGTTCACCCGGGAGAAACTGAGAGAAAACTGGCTTCCGTTTTTGGACGTCCAAATAAACCTATTAAGTAGCGGTTACCTGACAAAGTGGTATCGAAAGCCAAGTAACAAGAACATCCTTGTTCATTTTCTTTCTTCCCACCCTTCACACAAAGAGGGCGATTGTGAGAAACATGTTTCAAACAGCCACCTCTGTGTGCACAACCAGGGAAGGAAGAATCGCGCGACTTGGCTCGGCAAATAGCCATCTCCAATGGCTACGAAATAGTAACCCCACGAGATAAGTTTAGAAGGAAAACGACGCTCCCACGCGAAACACTTGGCCAAAGGAAAGTCCCGTTTATGTTGCCTTTTATAAGCAATGAAGTAAGCGTAGCTATAAAACGATGCTTAAGGAGGGCAAGTCTAGAGGAATCGGTAGCGATAGTTGAAATACCACCGGCTACTCTACGTCGCCAATTAGTTCGCAACCGCCTGTATGACCGTCTGTGTGAAACAACAAATTGCGTAATTTGCCCTTACGGCAGGGACGATGATTGCATGAGTTTAGGTACGATATACCTGATCTCTTGTAATAATTTCGGAGATGAATATATTGGCGAAACGGACAGACCTTTGTGTATCCGTATAAAGGAACACCTAGATGGCAAACGAAAACTAAGACGAAGCACCCCACTAGGCACGCATAGGAAACAAAAGCATAGCGGAGACGATTTTGAAGTAAAAGTCAATATCCTTGCACGGGAGTACAAAACACCAGCCCGAAAACTTCTTGAGGCTTTTTGGATAAATGCCAAAAAAATCCTACAATGAATAGCAGGGAGGAATGCCGAGAGGTCACACGCGACCTGGCCCAGTATCTTCGGATCAATTTCTGATGTGGGATGGTGCAGTCGTCAACCACATGCGACTATAATCAGCTGTTCTAAACTTCCTCATTGGAAGTCACGAAAAAGCGGTGGGTTTTTCGAGAAGTTGTTGATCGTGTAATTACCAAAGAGTCTTTCGTCTTTGTGTGTTATTGAAGCGTTTGGCCTAGTAGATTGTATATCAGTATACCCTTCCAGGCTCTGAAGAGGGCGATACTGCCGAAACGTCAGCTTTTGTTGTATTGTATTGTGCTTTTTATGGAAGTAAATATATGCTGTTTAAAAACCTCGCGATTGCCGAACAACAAAACGACACATTCATATTCTAATGCCGAGGTTAAGAGAAAGTCGATCCTGGGATCTACTAACTTGATTCGTTGTTTACTTACCTATATACTTAGATGGACAGTCACATCTATGGCGAATACGGCGGCCTTCTTTCCATTCGTTTTTTTTTCCATTCTACATTTATCCAACGATTGCCATGCACGATAGTAGTGGATAGTGAGGTGAATGTCCAGTTTCTATTTGACGATTCGTAAGGTTCGCTTGTCGCGTGTGGTGCAGTGGTCAAAGGAGCGCTGCAGCACACACATGAGATCAATCCCGGCGCCCATGTCCCACCAACTCCTACATCCCTCCGGGGTCGGCAATTTGGTACCAGACTTGTCTGGGAGGACATTAGCACTGGCTCGATATATCGGTAGGCTACCGCGAGTTATTGAAAGGCCAGATATGCATTCAATCACCTCCAAACCATGCTTAATCAAGTAGAATGTGTGGCGCATCCCTCAGGGGTTGATCAACGCCAAAAGCTTTATCCCTTATTCTTTTAAGCTTCTCTTTTCTTTAACATATTAAATACTGTCGAGTGGAGCTTCCTCTAAGAAGCCTAAGATACTAGGCTAGATCGTGCTGAAATCTTCTCTTCGAAAAAGCTGCGTCCCCTATAAAACAGAACGACAACTCTCCTTTGTAGAATTATTTAAGAAAATATTGTGTTAAAAATGGGTAGACGAATATTGAGATCGCCTCTTTTGTAGCAGCTTTACTTCCCAGCTTATCGGACTATACGATATATTTGGAAAAACTAGAGATAATGCTAACTTTTATTTGCTGCCTACTGTATTTTTTCACTACAGGGTATGAGGCGAAATACAACCACAAAGATGCTGAAATGTTTGCGAAACTCCGGACCGCAGGTGCCTGCAGTGGGCAACGAACGCGCTATTATCCTTTCCGAGGGGCTAACGCGTTCACCACCACACCATGCTGGTCCTTCATTTCGCCTGTCTCTCAGCTAGTTCTATCGATTCCTGCCATCAGCAATCACCCGTCTGGAAAACTAGAGATATTTTAATAACTGGAATATCGTCATTTTTCGACATCATCATCATTTTTAGAGCATTAGAAAAAAATGACATTTTTTAAAAATTTTGTATTTACTGACCACTTCATTCGTGTCGTTTCATTCCTTGTACTTTCCTTAATGAGTCATATGTTTGAGTTAATGGCGAGCTATTCACTAGACCTGGGGTCAAGAATTGAATTTCCTTCCGTAATAGATTCCGATTCAGCTTATAGCCTGTTCACATTTAAAGTTTATTTCGCTAGTTAATCATTACAAAGAGGAGGATGGGGCATTGCGACAACGATTCTTCTAGGACGGCACTGATTTCTCTGATTTGTCCAGCAACTGGTTCACGATGGTGCAGCGAACCGGTTTCAAGTCTAACTAGGGATATTGTTTTAGGATTAATATATTCCCAGTAGCTTGTTCATCGCTGTGTTTATTTCTAAGTTCATTAGCGCAAGACTTAAATATCATATTGTTATCGACTGTCTATGCGATAAGAAAAGTTCAGTTTTCAGAGGAAGAAAAAATTTTCTGACCCTACTTACGGAGAAACTGAAACCAAACGATTTAAGCAATGAGTATTTCTAAATTTATAGCCCAGATAACGATTTGAAGTCATCGAATGAAACGTAATTTCTACAGAAGCTCGGTTCCTTGGAAAAGCGAGAAATTTCGATTCAAATTCAAATGTTTGACAATCCATGTAACCATAGGAAGAAAATATACGAGTTGACATCTGTGATGAAGATTATGGGATGAAAATGATTATAGGGGTCGTCGATCAAACTCACCGCCGACAGAGACGTTTAGCGAAGGCGCATCTCTCAACAATCACGCGCCTAGTGATGAACGTAGTGAAGAGCATGACCGAAAATCATCATTGGTAGTTCAAGCCGGAAGACTCTCACCCGCTCGAATAAAGTTCGACGTTGAAGCCTTGAAGAGCAATTGAATGTACTATTCTATCAAATGGATAAAAGATAAAGCTATCGGCGTTGATCAATCCATGAGGGATGGGCCATGCATTCGACTTCATTAAGTATTGTTTGTTTGGGGATGACTGAGTGCATATGTCGCCTTCGCAATGACTCGCGGTGGCCTACCGATCTATAAAGCCAGTGCTGTTATCCTCCCAGGCAAGTTTGGTACCAATTTGCCGACCCCGGAGGGATGGAAGGCTTGGTGGGCTGTGGACGCGGAGATCGATTCCACGTGTGTGTCGCAGTGGGACCTCCAACCACTGCGTCACACGCGCTCTCTTTCAAATGGAGGAGTGCAGTATCTATGGACACCAGCAATTCTAATTGAAGCAGCCCAGTACTCCTATATTCTTCATTTGTTGAAATAGTTTAAAATTCTTTATTGTAACAACCACTATCGTAACCACGAGATCAACTATAAGAGGGGGAAAGGACTGAGTTTTTGTACGTAACTTTGATGGGTTTTTCACCTAGTTGTTGCATTTTTCAGGTATTTGGAAGGTTTTGAAATATTCCCAATGTCTGCGCCTTCACAACCAAGCTTCGTTAGTTTTAAACTACTCGCATTTTTTCCATTAATAAAAAACATCCCATTTCTGAACGAGCAGCTAAGTTTTACTTGAGTAAAATAAATAGACGAAGGCTCTTTAGGTTGATCTGTACCTTAAGGTTGCTCAATATCTTTGATTCTACTAGGATAATAAAAGCTAAAAGGATAAAGCTCTTGGCGTTGATCAATCCATGAAGAATGCGTCATGCATTCGATTTCACTAAGCATCGTTTGGAGGTGGCTGAATGAATAGATGGCATTTACAGTGATTCACAGTGACCGACCGATGTATCGAGATAGTGCTTCTATCTTCCCACACAGATCTGGTGCTAATTTGCCCACCCCGGAGGGATAGAAGGCTTGGTGAGCGACGAGAGCGGGAATCGATCCTGTGTGTGTATTGCAAGGCGTCTTCGACCACTGTGCCACACGCGCTACTTGCTAAGATAGTAGAGCTGATGAAATGAATTTTCGGCCTATGCAGTAGTGGAATGGCTGTTGGGGCTTCTGATGTTAAATCGACCTTCTCATCCTCACAGATAAGTCTAGTAATAATTTGCCGTATTGGACCCAATTAGCCCAGTGCATGGCGTCCCAAGCGGTCACCGTGTAGGTACTCTAATCACCGCAGTACACACATATTTTATTGGATGTACGTTGTTTGTCTATTATAACTTTTTTGCTTTAAAACCTCTTTTACTATACACCACTATATTAGAGGAGATAAAACTGCGTTCATTGTGCTAACTTTCATTGACTGCCTATCACAATTTCTTTTTGTCGGCAGGATATCAGGTGAAATATAAGCACAATGATGCTGAGATATTTGGAAAACTTCGGGCTGCAAGTGTCTGCCGTGGGGTCGAACACGCGACGTGTAGTGGTGGATGCTTTAGCCACCGGGAAGGGTAAAAACGCGTTCAATCCTCGCCGCAGACACCTGCGCTCCGGTGTTTTGCGAATATCTCAGCATCAGTGTGGCTGCTCTCACTATGTCTTCGAATGTCCGCGAAAGCGTAACCGCAATGATTTTTCAGGGTTGGACCTCATTAATGCGACACTTTCTTCAAACTCTACCGTCGAACATACCTCTGAAGGCCATGGAACAGCATGGATCGAAGGTTGTGCGATCTTGTTGTGTGTCGTCGTCGTCGTACTCGTCACTGCCATCAATGACTATTCTAAGGAGAGACAGTTCAGAAGCCTACAAGTAATAACTATTTTATTTCACTTGCGTTTTGCTAAAATATGCAGTATTCTTTAGGTCTGCAGTAAAGTCAAATTTTCTTACTAAACGCGCTCCTACCTTCTTCTTCCTCATTTTTATCAAAGATTTCCCCTAATTCTTTTTTTGGTATAGCCTATGGTGGACGCTATGCAAAGCACCTTTGCGTAAAATAAAGCATACGAAGTTCAGGAAAAGATCGAGACTGGTCAGAAGTTTTCGGTGATCCGCGATGGTGAAGCAATTGATGTACCAGTGTCGGACCTAGTTGTTGGAGACATAGCACGAGTGAAGTATGGAGACCTTATTCCGGCAGACGGCTTTCTGATTCAAGGAAACGATCTAAAGGTAAGAACGATATACCAGGTACTCAGTCCACTGAGAGGAATCGACGTGGGGAGGGTTGAAGATGAAGGAGATTGTGTTTGTCGCAAAGTCCTCTATTTGCTAAGATATGAATGCATTCCCGTATGAAATGGTGGTGTAGAAGACGACGACTTTCAAAATAAGTTCTATAGAAGAATTTTACAACGAAGAAGAATAATTGGCGAGATATTCCCAAGTTTAATCTATTTTTCTATAGCCGTGTTTAGAAACCTAGTGTTTTCTACTCTGATTTTCTGGTATTAAAGTAAAAAAGAGATAAAGCTCTCAGCGTTGATCAATCCCTGAGGGATGCGTCATGCATTCGACTTCAATAAGTATCGTTGGAAGTGACTAAATGTATATCTGGCTTCTCCAATAACTCGCGGTGGCTTACCGATTTATCCAGCCAGTGATGCTATCCTCTCAGACAAGTCTGGTATCGATTTGCTGACCCTGGAGGGATGAAAGGTTTGGTGGGTCATGGCCGATTCCATGTGTGTGCTGGAGGGCGCCTCCGACCACTGCGCCACATTCGCCCTTGTTCTGGTCTTAATTATCATAAATTTTAAGGAGTGGAAATTTTGGATCAGTGCAGTGATTTCATGTACATCAGCTTAACAAGGGCAATTCGCAAGAATGTGTGTATAGATAAAGAGGCGTGTAGCACAGTGGTCCGAGATGTCCTGCAACACACACGTGGGTTCGATTCTCGCGCCCATGGCCCACCAAGCCTTCCATCTTTCCGAGGTCGGCAAATTAGTACCAAACTTGTCTGGGAGGAGAGCAGCACTGGCTTGATACATCGGCAGGCCACCGCGAGTCATTTTAAAGGCCAGATATGAATTTAATCACCTCCAAATGATGCTTAATGAGGTTGAGTGCATAACGCATCCCTCAGAGATTGATTAATGCCGAGAGCTTTATCCTTTATATACAGATAATCCACACGCAGTTTAATAGTTGTATCCGACTGCAAACTGTCGGCATAAAAAAGGCAGCCGTTTTTTCTGAGCGCGCGCTTGATCTCTTTCCAGTCTATTATTTCGCTTGCTAATCAATAACAGTACTTTCTTTAACATAAATTGAGTTGCCCTTTCTCTAAATGCTCTAGGAATCTCAAACTGCATTTATAGAACATGTACAGCAGTGACTATTTGTTCATAGCCTAGTTGTTTGAAAGGCACTCCCATATATTCGCTGTCTTTGGTTCGAAATGGCCCTCCCATTGAACAGAGCTCCCCATTCGTGCAGAGTCGGTGAATCAATAGGAGGCCTATTTGTAGCACAAATATGCATTCTGTCAAATCTATGATGTGCAATAGAGTGCAATGTGTAACGAATCCTTAAGAAATTCATCAACGCAGAATGCGTTGTCCTGTGCCCCTTAACTGTGGACGAACTAATAACAGTTACTGAAATTGCAGATAGATGAGTCATCACTCACCGGAGAATCGGAACACATCAGAAAGACACCAGAATCCGATCCGGTTTTGCTATCCGGTTAGTACAGAGATAATAGAACTTTAGGGACCTATGACTGATTAAGATCATTTCAGGCACTTATGCGATGGAAGGTTCGGGAAAAATGGTGTTGACCGCTGTTGGTGTGAACTCGCAAACAGGAATCATCATGACTCTACTTGGTGCTGGAAAATCTGGAATGGGTGGGCAAGATGACGACTCGACATCAAGTATGTGCTGCAAACTCCACTATTGTTTCTCATTTATGTTGACTCCGAAGAAATCACCTCAAGTAGCGAGTCTATTAAACTGTTTTTATTTGAGGGCAGTCTGTAAGCTTAATGCTCTGAAAAAGTTTTTTTCATAGTCCTGTTATTCTAAAATAAATAATTATTGCTCTTCCGAAAAGGTCGATATCACCAGTACCACGTGTACAGCTTGTTGACCCGTTGCTGATAGGGAGATTTGAGAGCACCAGTAAAGTTTTATTTCTCTTCTTTTATATTCCAGTGCTATGCGACAAGCCCACTTCAATAAAAGGCAGGAAAAATATCTGCTTCATTATATTCCAGGATCTTTTGGAAAAGTCTGACGCTTCGAAACTCGCCATTCCTTGGAGTTCAATTATGATTGACTAATTCTCCAGCGGTTGTTGTTTAGATGCGTCATTTGTCCGGCATACTTAAGTTTCGGTTTAATTGTCTGCGGGAAAGGGTATCTGACCTTAGTCGTCAACGTAGTTAGGAGGCTATAGTTCCTTTCCTCCTTTACCTTTTATCCTTCATTTCTTTCTCTCTTTTTGAGTGGTATTTTCGGTATCATCAGCTTAATCAACCATTCCGCTTGTTTTCTACCGTTTAGCTTAGAACAAGGTCATTTATCGTTTTTGGTTTTTATGACCGAGATTTAAAATATCAGTGGAAAGTTCGGAAATAAATAAAAAAAGCTCTCAGCGTTGATCTGTTCCTGAGGGATGCGCCATCCATTCGACTTCATCAAGCATCGTTTGGAGGTGAATGAATACATATCTGGCCTTTACAATAACTCGAAATATCCTACCGTTGCATTGAGCCAGTGCTGCTATTCTCACAGACAAGCCTGCTACCAATTTGTCAACGGAATGGAAGGCTCGGTGGGCCATGGGCGTGGAGATCGATTCTACGTCTGTGTTGCAGGGCGCCTCCGACCACTGCGCCACACGCGCCGTTGTTGGAAAAATACGAGTAAAAATTTAGTAAAACTTTTCTTAAATATTATGCTTTCCAGGTTTAGTTGCAGATCAAACTTGGTGTTGTAAAAGTCAACCAGCTTTCGTTCCGCGTATTTGTTAGTATTACAAGAATTCATTAGTGATGTGAAGAAAGTGCACGTAACCGCCTTGGGCTTTTAACCAGTAGGAATCAGACATATCGGACGATAATTAGTAATAAGGAGAGGGGAAAGCGAAGTGGATAGTTATCAAGTTCCTTAGGAAGCAAGGTGCTCTTTCGACTCCCTTCTTAGTACGCTCCTTTAATTGACGCAGACACCCTTAGCTCGGCTATCTCCAAGAGTGCAAATGGAATTGCCTCAATTTGCATTCTATTACACTCACAAAAAATGCGAAATCGTTAACCAACAGCTGGATCAAAAACGGAAATAAGCGAAGAGATTCGTGGAGGATTAATGCAAGGAAAGCGAATCGAATACGAGAAGTGCTGGGATTCGCACAGATGTGATAACAAGTCATGTGGAAAGGATATAACATTCTGGCCTTTTCTGCTCCACAGTATGGTTACGACAGCTTTTACGTGCGACGAAACATGCATGGAAAGTGAAGAGAACTCATACCTAAAGACAGCTAAGTCAGAGTATACATACCATTTAATGGATTACATAGTCATAAACCGACAACTGTGGAAAATGTTTGCGAAACAGTTGCAGATTATCAACTCCAACCAGTTCCGGTTGCTGTGGTTGTTGCGTTTAGACGTAGTTCAGGAAAGCCCAGGTGGTGTTGTGTGTACCTATCCATGCGAAGCCATAGCCAATCTGCTTCGCTGTTTTTCTTACAGTCTTATCTTATTGTTGCTCTCAGGACTTTTGGAAGCTTGTACCTAGGTTGGCATTCATTAGTGTTCCGAGCCGTCCCTGCTACACTACGACCAACTTTGAACTCATAAAACAAAATTTGACGAAAATTCGTTTTCTACATCTAAAATTGCAAAGCTCAAAATTGACCGAAAAAACTTTTGAGAAAATATGAAAAAATCAGAAAAAGCATAAAATTGGCTTCTTAATGATATATAATATTGCAAGGTAGAGAAAACACTTTATTGGTAAAAAGTACATCAAAACAACAAATATTTTAAAATGCCCATTTATTTCTGAACATTTAATAATTAAGCCTTCTAAATATAATAAAAAAATATAATTCAAAAAAATGACCGCTGTTCGTATAAAGTTTACACAGAATCGCGAAGATAAGGAAGACCTGGGAGTGACTAGAATCGCCCGGAAACGCTTCGATATTCACAACAAGCCAATTATTTTAGCATCGTCGTCCAGCTCATCGTCTTCCTCGTCTTCATCTAACACATCTTCGTCGAGTTCGTCAAACTCCAGCAAGAGCAGCGATGACGATGACGGCCTTTCAGCAAAATCTGTGCTGCAATCCAAACTATCGAAATTGGCCCTTCAGATTATATACTGTGGTAGGTTCGAAGTGTGTGATAAATATGTTAGCTAAAAGTTATAGGTCTTCATAGCCGTTGATCATCTTTATTTATCATTCTGTTATTTCTGCTTGTTTCACACACTTACTTGCCGACTTACTTGGACGGCTTGTCCTCGCTGGTTGTGCGAGACCCAGCATAATCTCCATTTTTTCGGAGTTTCGCTGGTTTAGCCACTGTGTTTCCCTGGAGTACCGAAGTTAGCTTGGTCAAAGTCTGTCTCAGGTCATCACCACCACAGTCAGTCGCCGCTTTTGTGGATCAGAGGGAGATTTGCCACCATGCGACTAATTTGTTACCAGGACGTTGGTGGATCCTGGTATTGGTTTACTCTTGGTTCGGCTTCCTGATGGGAACGCAGGACTATTTCTCAGCTTGGGAGATCTTGCCAGAGGGTGAATCCTCCGCTGTACATCGCAGCCCGACACCCAGGAACACATCCCAGTCACGATGATGCAGTAAACCATTGGTAGAGTTTCACCCGCTACTTTTGAAACTCTACAAAAAAACTGGACGTACTTATTATAATGTTGAAAAATTTTTTATCTTTATCTAGAGACTTATTTCTCACTGTCTTCTGATTCGCCTGACAATTCTTTATTTTACTCACTTCTTACTCAATTCTTAATCATTACTCAATTCTTCTTTATTTTGCAGGAACAACGGTCGCCGTAGTGGCACTGGTGGTCCTGGTCACTCGATTCTGCATAGAACACTATGTTCGCGACGAGATTCCGTTTAGTATTGCCGACATCCAAGTACAATTGTCTTTGAAAAAAAAACAGACACAATATATAAGTTTAGTCGAGTTGTTATTAAGATGTTCGTCAAGTTCTTCATCATTGCGGTTACAATTTTGGTGATATCTATTCCTGAAGGGTTACCGCTAGCCATTGCACTTGCGCTCACGTATTCTGTCAGAAAGGTGAGTTATTACAATACTATTAATATTCTAAGAAAACCGGTGAATGGGCTACTCTTGCAATGTGGTGGAGTTCGTTAACAGTTTTCGAATTAGCTCATTCTTCCTAAATATGTCGAAAAAGTCGGTATGCTTAGCTTGAGCGAAGCTGGTTTATGTAGGATAATGTAATTCCGCAGAAAAGAAAACACACGAAAAGGTTCATGGCCATTTCCGAGACAGAATTTTAGATGATGTTCGACAACAATCTGGTGCGACACTTGGATGCATGTGAGACTATGGGAAACGCTACATCAATCTGTTCCGACAAGACTGGAACCTTGACCACCAATCGAATGACCGTCGTCGACTCGTATATAAACGGTAAAAATTTTTTTCTTGCAGATTTTCGCTGTCACTCGTTTACATTGTAAACGGAAAGCAGCTTTATGTATTCTTTCTTTGATGAGCTGACACGAGGTTGATAATGATATTTATTCATTTTCGGCTAACGTTTCGACGTCTTCGTCTTCCTCAGAGCCGATGATCCCAGTCGATGGTCCATGCTTGTTTCTTGTTTTCTTGAAGACGTCGAAGCGTTAGCCGAAAATGAATAAATATCATTATCAACCTCGTGTCAGCTCATCAAAGAAAGAATACATATTGATTATTGATACCGAGGTTCAAGGAAAGTCGGTTTCGGAAAGCAGCTTTGTCATAGAGTTCAAGGGAAAGTGAGATTCCTGTCTTGCAAAAAAACTTTCGTATCCGGTAAATTGCCTTGCTTCGTAGTTCTCAGATCACAGCCATTAGTACCACAAATGAAACTGACGGTTCAATTCTTCCAAACTATCCTTTCAGAAGTAAAGAAGAAGAAAGTCCGATAAAAGAACCACATGTAATGCAGTCGATTTTTTTAACGCGTCGTACATTGCACTAAAAGAAAAGTCTTCAAATAAAGGAAGCTTTTCGTAAACTAAAAAACAGAGTAACCGAGAACTATGTGAAACCACAGGTTTTCAGGGTAAGATAGTTATATGATCGAGAACATCAAAAAAGAAGTGTTCACTTATGAATCTTAGAGATTTGACTTTTAGGTAATCATTATAAAGGACAAGAAAACCAGCCAAGTGGAGCAGCATTGCCAGGGAACACTGTTGACCTAATAACAGAGTCGATCTCAGTCAACTGGTTAGTTTTGCTTTAAATTTAAGTCTTTCTTTTTCTTAAAAATGAGACAAGTGAGCAGATGGAGTTGAAAATAAAGCTAGTAGCACGCCCCAACTTACAAAGAACATGAGCAAATTTAAGGAATTGAACAAGCGTATTAAAAAAACATAGAGGATGGAAGGGCTGATTAGCCTTGATCAGTTTTCTGGAAGTGGATTTTTGGAAAAGGCTTGCTTCTAGCGCTTATAACTCGATGATCGTTGAGCCAACAAAAGTCGGCGAGCAGTTGCAGCAGTTGGGTAACAAAACCGAATGCGGGCTGCTCGGCTTTGTTCAGAGACTCGGTGGGGACTACGCAACGATTAGGAAGAAATTTCCTGAGGAATCACTTGTCAAGGTAATACGAAGTGTTATCGTTTTATATGCAGCTGTAAATTGCAGGAGCTATAATGTTTTACTATGCTTGCTTTATATTAAGATGGAAACACTTTTGTGTGCAGCACAGTGGTTAGAAAAGTTCTGAAATAAACACGTGGTCGTCTATTCGGTCACTCCTTTGGCGGATAAAGCAAGCCTTCCCATCGTCGTGGAAACG